TACTAACTAACTAACTAACTAACTAACTAACTAACTAACTAACTAACTAACTAACTAACTAACTAACTAACTAACTAACTAACTAACTAACTAACTAACTAACTAACTAACTAACTAACTAACTAACTAACTAACTACTACTAACTAACTAACTAACTAACTAACTAACTAACTAACTAACTAACTAACTAACTAACTAACTAACTAACTAACTACTAACTAACTAACTAACTAACTAACTAACTAACTAACTAACTAACTAACTACTAACTAACTAACTAACTAACTAACTACTAACTAACTAACTAACTACTAACTAACTACTAACTAACTAACTAACTAACTAACTAACTAACTAACTAACTAACTACTAACTAACTAACTACTACTAACTAACTAACTAACTAACTAACTAACTAACTACTAACTAACTAACTAACTAACTAACTAACTACTACTAACTAACTAACTAACTAACTAACTAACTAACTAACTAACTAACTAACTAACTAACTAACTAACTAACTAACTAACTAACTAACTAACTAACTAACTAACTAACTAACTACTAACTAACTAACTAACTAACTAACTAACTAACTAACTAACTAACTAACTAACTAACTAACTAACTAACTAACTAACTAACTAACTAACTAACTAACTAACTAACTAACTACTAACTAACTAACTAACTAACTAACTAACTAACTAACTAACTAACTAACTAACTAACTAACTAACTACACTACTAACTACTAAACTAACTAACTAACTAACTAACTAACACTAACTAACTAACTAACTACTAACTAACTAACTAACTAACTAACTAACTAACTACTAACTAACTAACTAACTAACTAACTAATTAACTAACTAACTAAGTAACTAACTAATTGGATTTTTGTAATGATCGGCCCTTATTTGACTCTAGGTCCCTTTAAAAATTATCTTCAACGTCTAAAATTGACTTATAGTCGGGCGAGACCGACCATATACACCAGTTGTAGGTATAAAATATGGTTTAGTTTTCATAATATAACATTTAAGTTGAATTGAACCTTGCCTCAGATATATGTACCTAAGCCATTTTTTGTTTAAAAACTAATTTTCTGAAATAGGAAATATTTAACTCATATTTTGAAGGGGTATTTGTAAAGGTGCTAGGGTCAAAGGAGGCCCTATCAACACAAAATTCATCAGGGTCATCAAGGTTAGTATAGAACTTGATTGTGCTGCTTTTTGCCGAGATACGAGTATATTAAACATAATTATGATCTTAAAAGCACTATTCGGGGGGTTCAGTTATATGGGGGCTAGGTGAAATATTGTCTTGGACATGTCAGACAATACTTTTCTACTTGCTTTTATCAAAACAATTTTGTCACCAAAGGTCGGGAGTAAATTTTCAAATATTTAAAATAAAAAAAATCTGATTAACAAGGTCTTCCACCAAATTATTTCTAAAAGTTTTAATTTATTTCCTTCTAGACCTACTGTAGAAATTTGTCTGACTAGTTCGATTTCAAAATAAAAACTCAACAAAAACGTTGAATTAATTAAATTTCGTTTGTGCCCAAACTTTGTCCTTAACTTTGTTAAACTTTTTCCTTTGACTTTCACAAAATTTTGTACATATTCTGCAGTTTTTCATTTGTTTTCTTCTCGTACTTATAGATGATAAAAGTACCATGAGACTTTTGACATGATTAAAAATGTCAGAGTATAACAAAAATAAGAAAACAGGATTATTACTTGTACATGTAACAGTAATGATAAAAGTTTTTTATTTTCATATTTTCTTTATTCTTCCTAATATTTGGGACACATATTATTTATTAAAACGCTTGCTTGCTACTGTTTGGCTCAATTACACATAAAAATATGTAATAGATTAAGTTTAAATCATTAGAAACTTTAGGGATTTATTTTGTCACCATCGTTGTCATTGTCTTTGTCATAAAGTGACTTGTAACAAAATTAATTAAAACTGATACAAAAGTGAAAAGAGAAATGATTAGGAAGTAAAATAAGCTTTGGAAGCTAACTACAACCTAGTTTATGATTAATTAAGTTAATTAAGATTTAAATTAGTTCATATGATCTAGTAGGTGACGTCCTGTAGCTGTCAGAGGTACCTTAAGTGGGATTTAACGCCAACGAAAAAGGTGTTAAACGTAAAAAATTTTGTGATAATTAATGGAATTTTCATTATTCGATTATGTTAAAACTTATCACCAGTTAATTTTAAATTCGATGGAATAATATTAGATATAACAAAGACAATTTTTATTTTCAGGAGCAGGTCTGAAAAATATCAAAAGGAGTATAAGTCAGTGTGGGAACTTAATGGTGTTAAAGTTCTTGACTTTTATAGAGTCTATAGTATAGTTTATAGTCTAGTTCATCGCCTAGTCTATAGTATAGTCTATAGTTTTGTTTATAGTCTACTTTATAGTCTATAATACAGTTTTTAGTCTAGTCCACAGTCTAGTCTAGAGTCTAGTCTATATAATGATGATAAAGTTCTTAGTTTTTAAACAGTCTATAGTTTAGTCTATAGTCTAGTTTATAATCAAGTTCTATAATCAAGTCTATAGTATAGTCTAGTCTATAGCCTTGTTTATAGTTTATAGCCTAGTCTATAGTCTAGTTTTTAGTCTAGTCTATAGTCCGTCTATAGTCCAGTCTATGGTCTAGTCTATAGCCTAGTCTCTAGTCTAGTCTATAGTCGAGTCTACAGTCTAGTCTATAGTCGAGTCTATAGTCTAGTCTATAGTCTAGTCTATAGTCTAGTCTATAGTCTAGTCTATAGTCTAATCTATAGTCTAGTCTAGTCTATAGTCTAGTCTATAGTCTAGTCTATAGTCTAGTCTATAGTCTAGTCTATAGTCTAGTCTATAGTCTAGTCTATAGTCTAGTCTATAGTCTAGTCTATAGTCTAGTCTATAGTCTAGTCTATAGTCTAGTCTATAGTCTAGTCTATAGTCTAGTCTATAGTCTAGTCTATAGTCTAGTCTATAGTCTAGTCTATAGTCTAGTCTATAGTCTAGTCTATAGTCTAGTCTATAGTCTAGTCTATAGTCTGTCTATAGTCTAGTCTATAGTCTAGTCTATAGTCTAGTCTATAGTCTAGTCTATAGTCTAGTCTATAGTCTAGTCTATAGTCTAGTCTATAGTCTAGTCTATAGTCTAGTCTATAGTCTAGTCTATAGTCTAGTCCTATAGTCTAGTCTATAGTCTAGTCTATAGTCTAGTCTATAGTCTAGTCTATAGTCTAGTCTATAGTCTAGTCTATAGTCTAGGCTATAGTTAGTTCTATAGTCTAGTCTATAGTCTAGTCTATAGTCTAGTCCTATAGTCTAGTCTATAGTCTAGTCTATAGTCTAGTCTATAGTCTAGTCTATAGTCTAGTCTATAGTCTAGTCTATAGGCTAGTCTATAGTCTAGTCTATAGTCTAGTCTATAGTCTAGTCTATAGTCTAGTCTATAGTCTAGTCTATAGTCTAGTCTATAGTCTAGTCTATAGTCTAGTCTATAGTCTAGTCTATAGTCTAGTCTATAGTCTGTCTATAGTCTAGTCTATAGTCTAGTCTATAGTCTAGTCTATAGTCTAGTCTATAGTCTAGTCTATAGTCTAGTCTATAGTCTAGTCTATAGTCTATCTATAGTCTAGTCTATAGTCTAGTCTATAGTCTAGTCTATAGTCTAGTCTATAGTCTAGTCTATAGTCTAGTCTATAGTCTAGTCTATAGTCTAGTCTATAGTCTAGTCTATAGTCTAGTCTATAGTCTAGTCTATAGTCTAGTCTATAGTCTAGTCTATAGTCTAGTCTATAGTCTAGTCTATAGTCTAGTCTATAGTCTAGTCTATAGTCTAGTCTATAGTCTAGTCTATAGTCTAGTCTATAGTCTAGTCTATAGTCTAGTCTATAGTCTAGTCTATAGTCTAGTCTATAGTCTAGTCTATAGTCTAGTCTATAGTCTAGTCTATAGTCTAGTCTATAGTCTAGTCTATAGTCTAGTCTATAGTCTAGTCTATAGTCTAGTCTATAGTCTAGTCTATAGTCTAGTCTATAGTCTAATCTATAGTCTAGTCTATAGTCTAGTATATAGTCTAGTCTATAGTCTAGTCTATAGTCTAGTCTATAGTCTAGTCTATAGTCTAGTCTATAGTCTAGTCTATAGTCTAGTCTATAGTCTAGTCTATAGTCTAGTCTAGTCTAGTCTAGTCTAGTCTATAGTCTAGTCTATAGTCTAGTCTACAGTCTAGTCTATAGTCTAGTCTAGTCTATAGTCTAGTCTATAATCTAGTCTATAGTCTGGTCTTTAGTTTAGTTTAGTCTAGTCTATAGTATTGTCTATAGTCTAGTATATTCTAGTCTATAATCTAGTCTATAGTCAAGTCTATAGTCTAGTTTATAGTCTAGTTTATAGTCAAATCTATAGTCTAGTCTGTATTCTAGTGTATAGTCTAGTCTATAGTCTAGTCTATAGTCAAGTTTATAGTCGAGTCTATAGTCTAGTCTATAGTCAAGCCTATAGTCTAGTCTAGTTTATAGTCTATACTGTAGTCTACAGTCTAGTTTATAAAATTACAAAATTTCCAGATGTTGTTTAAATTTGGCGTTTTCTAGCGGCTTTGGCAAAAACCTAAATAAGACGGTTTTTTTGACATGGTTTAATGTGAAATCTTGGAAGAATATTGGCAACACTGCTTGTGGCAGCACTATGCCAAGAGAGAAAGATGATCTAACTTAATGAGTATTAAAGAGACCGGTTAAAAAATGTTGCCATAGTTTTGCCATAAATTTCCTAAAATAGTTTCCCACTAACTAAAAACAAGCACGATAGTAACAAATACAAATATGTAGAGCTGTTTACGATCAAAACAACAACAATTAAATAAATTACTTTAAAATAAAATTTTCATTATGGCAACTCTTTAACTACTGATACAATCTAATGACCATTAACTACTCAAACAGATAAAACTTGTTTTCTATTTTAACATTTTGCTACAAAAAAATTTATTTCAAATAAATTTGTTTCTTTACACACTTTGCACACAGTACAATAAATATAGTTTTTATGATTTTATGATAATTTGTTTAAGCGCTTTTAGCTTTTTTATTCTCTTCCATCTTTTCTTGTACAAATTTGAACAAAACATCAGCTCCCTCCTGATTATTCTTCTTATAGTAGGGCAATTCAGCTAGACGATCAACCCAGGCTTTAACATTGGGGAATTTCTCCTCTTCGATGGGAGCAAAAAGCATGGCGGTAGAGACCGAAGCTATGCAGCATAAATCGGCAATGGTAAGATCCTCACCGCACAGGTATTTGGAAGAAGTCAAACATTTCTCTAGACCATCATAGGCCTTTTGCATGTAGACAACTTTTTCTTGGGCAATATGATCGGCACCAAAGTAAATGACAGGTTCTACCATGAAACGGGCACGAGGGAAAAGATGACCGCAATCGAAATAGAGACGGGCATCAACTTTCATGCGTTGAAGTTTATCTTTGGGATAGAGGGTTTCATCGACGGCATACTTATCAGCCAAGTATGAGCAAATGACATGCGAATCGGTGATAACAACACCGTTATCATCCAACACGGGAATAGTGTGTAGGGGGTTAAGTTTAAGAAATTCAGGTGTCAAATGATCGCCTTCTTTCAAATTCATGGGTCTAGAAATTTATAGAAAAATAAGTTAAAATAAACATAAATTTGGTATAAAATTTAAACATTTGTATAAATTAATTTTATGTTATTGTTTAAGACTTACCTCAAGTCCAAATCAACTCCCAAAGCAGCAGCAGTTAATAGAACAGCACGGCAGGGAGGACTGCGGGGAGTGTAGTATAAAACTGGTTTCGACATTTTTGCAGGAATTAAAAAAACCTTTAAGAGAAATTTAAAAATAAACTTAGATTTTCTTACTTTTAGTTTGACAATGTCTTAAGTGACAGTTTTTTTGGGGGGGAATTTATTTGTTAGTCATTTTATTTACTCGTTTGTCAAATAAAATGTGCTAATTATTTTTGCTAAAAAATATATACATAGATATGTATGTAGGTATTATTAACATACAAAAAATGATCGATCGTATATTTTTTGCCGGTCTCTTGATGCTTACCTTTTAGCTGGAGTGCAAATATACAACTGTTTATAAAATTTGGGAGCGAGTTTTTACTATAGTGGGGAGAATTGGATCACTTCAAGAGGTTTGTGGTGGCAACCAGCTTTATATAGAGATGCCAGATGTCTTATTTTCATGCTAGCCAATTCAAACTCCCTGAATATTTCAAGTTTATTCAATACCTATAATGTTTAAACTTTAATAAAAAAATTTATAAATTATTGCGGGTTTAAAATTGCGGATCTTGTAATATATCAAGGCAATCTATGGCCGAGTATGACATTTGTCGTCCCAGAGCAAATTATTAAAGGGTCGTTGAGACAATGCTTAATGGCTCGTAATCTCTTTTGGATTAAAAGTTATAGACTAAAATACGTTTTTGAAAGGTCTATTGAGAGAAGGTAGATTTTGTTTTTACCACAGATCTGGTAATATTTGTACAATTTCCTCACTCCCTAGAGTATGCTATAAATGTAAATATCATAAAAGATTCATTGTTGCCAGATGTTTTTATTTCGTCTTGCATGATCACAAAAGTAATCAATATGGTAAAAAATATGATTCCATTAGAAGTAGAATTTGTGAAAATTAGAGTAATTGAAAAACAATTTTGTTTATGTTTATTCATCCCATTAGGAATCATGTTTTCTAAATTTGGAGTTAAATGCGGGAATATCCTAGTTGACAAAAAGCGACAACGTATTTTTTATTTCGAAAATGTTGATTTTAGTGCCAGCAAAGCGTTAAAAGCTGCAAGTTTAGTTAACTGGAGCTTATATCGACAGTCTTTCATTACCATTTGTGGTGAAAAGTGGATATATTACGAGAACTCGAAGCAAAAGATATCGCCAGGATCTTTTTCGGCATAGACTTCAAAGAAAAATATCCACGGCGCTAAGATAATGATGCATTGTATATGTTAGGAACAAAAGTATCCTATTTATTATGAAATTTAGCCAGACTAGGCGACATTTGTTCCGAATGCAACTGATTCGATTGAAGCGATTATTGGCTGAAAAACGCAATAACTCTTCAAAATTATTTGAAAGAAGTGTAGACCTTGTCATGTTTCACTATAACCTGTTTTGATCGATTCGGGGCGTTCTCTAGCGTTAGTTAGTTAGTTTAGTTAGTGTTAGTTAGTTAGTTAGTTAGTTAGTAGTTAGTTTAGTTAGTTAGTTAGTTAGTTAGTTAGTTAGTTAGTAGTAGTTAGTTAGTTAGTTAGTTAGTTAGTTAGTTAGTTAGTTAGTTAGTTAGTTAGTTAGTTTGTTAAGTTAGTTAGTTAGTTAGTTAGTTAGTTAGTTAGTTAGTTAGTTGTTAGTAGTTCGTTAGTTAGTTAGTTAGTTAGTTAGTTAGTTAGTTAGTTAGTTAGTTCGTTAGTAGTTAGTTAGTTAGTAGTTAGTTAGTTAGTTAGTTAGTTAGTTAGTTAGTTAGTTAGTTAGTTAGTTAGTAGTTAGTGTTAGTTAGTTAGTTAGTTAGTTAGTTAGTTAGTTAGTTAGTTAGTTAGTGGTAGTTAGTTAGTTAGTTAGTTAGTTAGGTTAGTTTAGTAGTTAGTTATTAGTTAGTTAGTTCTGTTAGTTAGTTAGTGTTAGTTAGTTAGTTCTTTAGTTCGTTCGTTCGTTCGTTCGTTCGTTCGTTCGTTCGTTCGTTCGTTCGTTCGTTTCGTTCGTTCGTTCGTTCGTTCGTTCGTTCGTTCGTTCGTTCGTTCGTTCGTTCGTTTCGTTCGTTCGTTCGTTCGTTCGTTCGTTCGTTCGTTCGTTTCGTTCGTTCGTTCGTTTTCGTTCGTTTGTTCGTTCGTTCGTTCGTTCGTTCGTTCGTTCGTTCGTTCGTTCGTTCGTTTCGTTCGTTCGTTCGTTCGTTCGTTCGTTCGTTCGTTCGTTCGTTCGTTCGTTCGTTCGTTCGTTCGTTTCGTTTCGTTCGTTCGTTCGTTCGTTCGTTCGTTTCGTTCGTTCGTTCGTTCGTTCGTTCGTTCGTTCGTTCGTTCGTTCGTTCGTTCGTTCGTTCGTTCGTTCGTTCGTTCGTTCGTTCGTTCGTTCGTTCGTTCGTTCGTTTCGTTCGTTTCGTCGTTCGTTCGTTCGTTCGTTCGTTCGTTCGTTTCGTTCGTTCGTTAGTTAGTTAGTTAGTTAGTTAGTTAGTTAGTTAGTTAGTTAGTTAGTTAGTTAGTTAGTAGTTAGTTAGTTAGTTAGTTAGTTAGTTAGTTAGTTAGTTAGTTAGTTAGTTAGTTAGTTAGTTAGTTAGTTAGTTAGTTAGTTAGTTAGTTAGTTAGTTAGTTAGTTAGTTAGTTAGTTAGTTAGTTAGTTAGTTAGTTAGTTAGTTAGTTAGTTAGTTAGTTAGTTAGTTAGTTAGTTAGTTAGTTAGTTAGTTAGTTAGTTAGTTAGTTAGTTAGTTAGTTAGTTAGTTAGTTAGTTAGTTAGTTAGTTAGTTAGTTAGTTAGTTAGTTAGTTAGTTAGTTAGTTAGTTAGTTAGTTAGTTAGTTAGTTAGTTAGTTAGTTAGTTAGTTAGTTAGTTAGTTAGTTTAGTAGTTAGTTAGTTAGTTAGTTAGTTAGTTAGTTAGTTAGTTAGTTAGTTAGTTAGTTAGTTAGTTAGTTAGTTAGTTAGTTAGTTAGTTAACCTATGGAGGCAGACAGTAAATTCTTCACCTTTTTGAATTTAAACTATATAATTCCGTTTAAAACGCTAAACAACTTAAACTTGTCAAATCCAGCAGCTCCGCTTAAAATGCTGCAATATAAATAAAATTTCATTATTTATTCATTTAACGCCTTTTAAGCACCAACTTCAGTATACATTTTCGAAATTTAAAATTCAATTGTTTGGCTGATAGATAAATTCCGCATAAAAAGACCATATGAATTTAAATTAGAATTCCTGATAAAACAAACACTTTACAAAATTCTTACTTGCCTTGGCAAATTTCCTGATTTAGTTTAACTTTGTTTCTTTAATGCTGAAGCCTTAATTTTATTTGTTCTACTCAATTTGAGAATTTAATAAAAAAAGAGTGTGTGTGTGTGTGTGGAACAATATTACACTTTGCCACAAATGTAGCAGAAACCTAATCGTCTTTTCAATCATCATTACCATCGGCATCTTTAACATTTTGTGTCATCATTACATTCATGAAAAAGGCAACGACGATACAAATTCTATTTAAGTCATAATTGTGAAAAAATAATATTAAATTCTGTCAATCTTTCCATCTGTCTAACAGTCAGTTAGTCATTCCTTCATTTTTTCATTCATTCAGTAATTTTATCAACCAATCAATATGTTGTCATCTCTCTAAGGTAATCATTACTAAATGAAATTAAGCTTAAAACCGGAAAAATCAGGGAAACATTATTGAAATACCCAGATAAAATTGCAAATTGAGGAAATTGAAAATTGCCAAAAACGAAATTGTTGGTCTGTTTACAGTTTATATAAATAATTAAATAAATTTCTTACTAAATTTTTGTGATTGATTATTATTTTTTGTGCAAAAGTAGAAAGTCAACAAATTAGAGAAAAAACTACTAAATTATTTATAAATTTTTAGCCAAGATGTTACTAACACAGAGCTGATGTGATTCAACTAAGTATTAAGTTTAATAAGTGGCCTGGTGTCGTATGATTAATATTTATTATATTGTCCTAAATGTTGTCTCTTGTTGCATGTTTGATTCATTTGTAATCGTCAGACTAGTTGTTGTAGTGTTTATATATTTTTGTTGTTGTTGTCATATACATATATCTTTTTTTCTACATAATGTAATAATATTTCATATTTGTAAGATTGTGTAACTGTGTTAAATACTCTACACAGTTACACAGGTTTACATGGACACACAGACAGACGGACGAACGGACATAGCTAAATCGATTTAGAAAGTGATTCAGAACCGATTGGTATACATTAAAGTGTGTGTAGGACCAATATTTTTGTATTTTTCATACAACTGAAGCTCCCTCCCGATGTCAAATTCCATCGTTATATATGCTTCTTAAAGACAGGTATGACCGTTAAAGTTGATTTCTGAAGGAGACCTTATATCGACGGTATGGTCAATTATGGACCGATCTTTATAAAATTGAATAAACAGATTAAGGATTTGTAAGTTGCAAGCTAGATTTTGCCAGTAGTTTAAGAATTTGAAATTTTATTGTACTTTTGGTCCTAGGTCCAATATTTGTCAAAATTTCTATTTTTTAACTTGTTGTAGAATGATTCTAGATCCAACATTCGTCAAAATTTCAGATTTTTTTTTGTATTTCAAACTTGGCAACTACTGGCCGAATATGGCTGGAAACTTACCTTTATAGTAAAATTCCATGCTGAATACAAAAATGGACTCAGAATGGACCTGGAACCTCAACTTTCTGGTAAATTCTCTGAATCCGAACTCAGTGTGGACCTAGGTCCATTGTTTCATCAAAATTCCCAAATTTATTTTAAACAATTTGTGGTAATATATCGGAGTCTTGAGGCGTAGAGCTCCAAAAATTTGACATTCAAGATTAGTATTTAAGCTGAATCTAAAAATTAACTCATAGTGGACCTTTTTTCAAATTTTTCCGATAAAAATTTCAGACCGATTTTTAAGGGTTCTTGACATGACTATTGAAGATATTTGCTAGCCAAGACTAAAACCTCTAAATTTAGATATATTATGATATGAACTGAAATATCGTGAAATAATTGATTTACAATTTTTGTTCCGAAATTTTTATGAAATCATGGACCTAGCTCAATTTTGAAACCATTTTCGGATTCAGCATAGATTTTAGTCTTAAATGACAAATTATGATATGAACTGAAATTTCGTGGAATAATTGTTTCATAATTTTTGTTACGAAATTTTTATGAAATCATGGACCTAGCTCAATTCTGAAACCATTTTCGGATTCAGCACAGATTTTAGTCTTAAATGACAAGTTTCAGTTGCTCCTCGGCATCAAGAAACAAAAATAACAGCACAAATTGTTCAAAGTAAAAAAAATCGGGAATTTTAATGAAACAATGGATCTAGGTCCACTCTGA